ATTCCTGCTCCCCAAAGTCCTGAAAAGCAAAGGAGTGTGCTCACTCAATTCTCAGTAAATCCAGTGGAAGACAGGTCTAGTACATGGAGTCACTCTACAGTTTGCTCTCTGACATTCTGCATTCTGGCACCAGAACACAGGTGCAGAGTTATTTGGAAGCAAAATACTCACCGTTATAGAATTGCTGAGCTGTTTGACCTTCTGCTCTAGTTGTTCTCTTTCCTGTTTTAAATCTGAACTCCATTTAAGTAGTTTCTGTTTTTCCTCTTCTTTTGCTGCAAAACAGATTGTTAATCAGAATATTTAAAAATGTTCCTGTTACAACAGTGGGTAGAGGGTCTAAACTGCTTCATGTAAAAAGAGGGTAATTGTGTTTAAAGTTGATTCAACAACTTGTGCACTAAATCACCCCCAAAATTTCACCCACATACACAAGCATCACAGAAAGCTTAACAAAACTTTAGGCTGCTATTTTCACTTCACTAGTGATTAAGGTTCTTCCCCTCTAATTTCCTTCTGTAAATCCACTCTATCCCATTCCCAAAATAACATCTTCCATTATTCAAAGTGAAACAAAAGTGTTGTTTCTTCATCTTCCTACCTGCTTTATATGCAATATATGAATGAACAATTGCTAAAGTTCCTGGCCACGGGATTGCTTCTTCCTTCTTTAGCATCTGAAAGAAAAGTGTTTAGAAATTTAGCTGGTACACAATCTACCTCTAAGAAAGCAAAGAGAGAGAAAGAGGAAAATACTGAGGATTTTCTTTCATGGCTATCATTAGCCTCACCCTTATTAACACGTTAACAAATCTGTTCTGAGATTTAACAGAGGGAATTATTCACAACTATATTGTTGCTCCCACAAAGCAGGCCTGTTTCTTACAAATGTCAGCATTTTCTCAAATTCCTTCCATAGCCACAAATAAAGTCTACTAATGAAATTGAACAACTTAAAAGAGGAATGAAAGGATAATATATCTGAACTCAAACTTGCCAGGAGACATAAACATTATTTCACAGTTCAGACAAATTGCTGATCTTAGTTGTTCTGAAACAAAAGTTTTCATGGCACAGAACAGCCTCCAAACTATCTTCAAACATCATACTTCCTGGCTAGTAAAACATGAAACCGTCTGATGTCCCCTTCTTACCAGAATCATCTCAATAGAGCTGTCAAATCCTTTTTATAAGGCTAAGCACCGTTTAGGTCTTTCAGATCCTTCCTACGTATTCCTTCCTAACAAACTTTATTTTGAGAGGAAAGACATGTATTTTCAGTAAGTGAATCAGAGGCATGTCTCAGAAGATAGAGGACTTGGTCACTTTACAGCGAAACTACTCAGACACCCTCCACCCCCCATTTTGTGAGAACCTATCACAGAACAACGAAGAGGAGGGATAAGGTGAGAGTAAGCAAGAACAGTAATAGGGAAGTGGTAACACTCCCTCCTCTCTCGCAATTACTGACCAAGTCACTTGAGTCTTGCATTTTCATTCTTCTGAACAGCGTATCGTACATCAGGCTGTTTTCTTATATTACCATTTGGCTAACTAAACGTCATGTTGGCAACCAAGCAATAAGCTACATTAGAATGCTAACAGCTTCAGGCTGCCAATCATCAGCAATCCTTTACAACTGGAGTTCCATGTAAGGGTTAGGAATACAATAGTTTACTTCTTTGTCTTGTAATCTCAATGCAATTATAAACAAAATATTAAAAATATAACCTGTTCATTTCAATTGTGTACACTCAGAGAGGGATCTGGAAGGAAGAACCACCAATCTGTTCGCCTATCGTCATTATACTGATGCTAGATGATATTATGAAAGAGATCACTGAAGACAACTTCTCTGATGTTTGATTTATACAAGCAAACAGGGACTTTTGCTCTATCTGTCAAGGTAGGCTTGTGCAAATGTTTTATTTATTTGTCTGGAAGAATATACTGATAACTTTTGAAGAAACAACGAGCTTAAGATGAACACCAAAATTTCTATGGGTCATAGAGAATCTTTCACAAAAGTTTGTGTGCTTTGGCCCAGAAAAAGAGCAAAACCAGAAGGGTAACAAAGACAAACCCCAAATCTGGGAAAGACCTCACAGTTTTGTATTTGCACGCATTCCAACAGAGGTAATTCAATCAAATTCACACAAGCCTTATTACAGATCAAATACATTTGCTCAGTGTCAGGCTGTCTTGATCTATGCCAGACAAATGATCTGGTTATTTTCTTTAACACTGAAAAAGTCTTTACAGTGCACTGTATATAATTCTCCCTGTCTGTCAAACAATACCTGGTCTTGACATTTGGGACAGATCCACATGCCCTTGGGAATGGTTTTCAGAGGCGGGTCCAGACAGTCCAGGTGATAAACACGTGAACATGTGTCACACATCAGCAACTGCCCGCTTTTTCTGCAAACACTGCAAAAATCCTCATGGATATCGCCCTATGAAATTGAGGGGAAGGGGTGTGGGTGAGAGAAAGAGAGAGAAGGCAAAAAGTGAGCTTTGACCTTTAACATCTACATCGTAGTTGAATGCAAAGTTTACAGCACAAACTATTTCTAAGGGGATTCCAAATGGTCAAGTGAATGCAAAGTTTACAGCATAAACTCTATCTAAGGGGATTCCAAATGGTCAAGCCCTTCTTAGGCTGTGAAACAGGAGAACCAGGCAGGATGTCAGAAACACTGACATCTGTCTTCCCAAACAGTCCCTTTGTCCTCACAAGTCAGAATGTTACAACAAACACTTATTACCAGAGCTTCTCTTAACAACTGCTACCCCACAGCCTTTCTTCTTTAAGATTCCCCCTTTACCCTGCTTTTTATTTTTGCCTAAAGTGATGAGCTATCCACTTTCTTAACCCTTCTCATTTCTGGATGTAAGCACAACTCCACTTCAGGAATGCTGATAAGGCTGTCTCTTGCCAGTAATAGTATGTAAGAAATCCCAGTCGAATGCCTTAAAAGAACACTGTCAAATATTTAGGTCACCTTTAAAAATGAAACTGGAAGGAAAAGGTGTTGTGCTTGTAAGTGAAAAAGAACAGAATGAATTATGTTCTGAGACAATTCTTTTTACTTCACTTAGGTTACCTCAAGTTGAACCAAAAAAGCTGTGACTCAAAATTTTGTCATTCTCTATAGACAGTGGTTTATGTTTCATCACTAACACAGGCTGCGAGCCAGGATGAAGGAATACCAAGAGAGATTTTCTAACTAAGGGTTTCTTCAAGAAAGAATTGAAAACATTATTGGCAGGGTCTCTTAAAAGAACTAGATTTAGTCACCATCAGAGAGAATTTTCTTCTATAGCCATTAACTTCCCAGAAAGGGAGATCTTAATTCTTGTCACTTTTTCTTCTCTCTCTCTCTCCTCCTGTTACTCCCATCTCATGCTTGGAGCAGTGGTGGTGGTTTTTTGTTTTTCTTTGTTTTTTTTTTATATTTGAACAAAGAGGCATGGAAGAAAGATGTCTCAGCATTCACAGAGGAGGAGAGGGGCACCCCAGCCCTCTCCCCTCACTGCCGGTGGGCTGTCCTGGCAACTCGACATACTCAAGGCCCCACCTGGAGTCTGAAATACGCACTTCTCACCGACTTCAGTTAAAGTTTCATGCACACACACCAGATCTGCAAGATCGTGATCTTAAGATGTATGTGTTGAGTCAAACCACGTGTATACACTCCCCCTGCATGAAATATGAACGTGTGCAAGGTTTCATTTTGACCTGTACAAGTCTTTTCACATGTGTGAGTAAGTTCCATCAGTTTGGAAGGATAGCAAATCTGGCTGTGCACTTACACATTAAGTTGCCAGGCAAGAAAAATGACACTAATTTCTACTATGGATAAAATATTAAACATATTAGAAGAATGACACACAAGCAATCTGCTCAGGTTTCTACTTCCCGGCTCTATTGCTGATGAGGCCTTTCTTCAAAGGGAAGGCTATTCTTCTCTTAATTCCCAAGGTTAGCACTGATGTCATGTTTTGTAAAGGATCACTCTTTAGTGAATTTTCAGGGATCCCGTAACTCCCAGGATCATTGAGAGCTGGGTTATGGTATTACTTCATCCTTGAACACCAAAGAGTGCCTCAGTGAAGAATTAAATGAGTGACATTTCATGCCTCTTGTGAAGTGGTCTGTGTAACCAGGCTGGGAAGAACTTTTTTCCCTCTATCGTGAGCACAAGGAAAAGGCAGCAGGCAGGAGATGTCATAGAAGCTAAAACAAAATTCTCTGCAACCTAAGGAAAAAATGTAAGAGGAAAATTCTAACATTTTAGAAGAAAATTCTCATTCTAGAGAATTACATGTGTTAAGATGCTTTGGTTGCCACAGCCTACATGATGGCAGTTGGTAACTGGCTGAGGTGCAAAATTCAAATTGGTATGTTAAAAACCAAACCTGTTTTGTCTAATACCCTGCAGAAAGAGACCTACACAAGAGGCACATGCAGTTGCTTCTTGAGGGGGAGATATTTAGAAATTTAGACCCAGAACCTTCTAAATTCAGCTGAATGCTGCAAAACCTGAAGTGATCCAGCTGGTCAGCATGCAGTGTGGCTTGAACGCATTGAGATGACAACACAATGCACAAAATCCACAGTCCTGTTTTTGGTAATGCAAAATTCAGGGCATTTCCTCAGATGTAATAACGGGCTTTACTATAATCCCAGCCACTGTCTGATTCCAAAGTGATGCCCCAGGTTTTATGGGCAGTTAATAAATACATGCATAAAGGGGGGCTGGATTTCATATGGTGACACGCACCCCACTAATCTCAGCTTCTGGACCAGCTCTGTGAAGGCTATAGGCAGCCAACTTAGGCTACAGCAGAACTCACTGAGGCTGCTCTAACACATGCTACAGGCTGAAGAAACTGAAGAATAATTTCAGGACAGAGACCATAAAAGGTGATTTAGCATCACTTTTTGCTCTACTTCCTCGGCACCTAGAGATTAGGAAAATAAATGAAAGCTTTTTGGACAGCTAATGGTTGTCTTTATAATTATAAAGTGTCTAGAGCAGCAGGGCCTGGCTTTAGGTGATAGAACTTTAAATACAGTATCAAATCAGAAATATATGTAGTATGTGTGTTTGAATATGTACGTCTCACTGGAGCAACACAGACAAATTAAATATTCTGCAACAGGAATTGTTCATGACCTTATAATTAAAGATGGTCATAATGTATGGTGTGAATTATCAGAAGCAATAATAGATTTGGCATTTTTTAACTTTTATGGGCTTGACTTTGCAATCTGAATGTTCTCGAATGCTCCTCTCAATTGAAACATTGTTTTGATATAAAAAGTTTACTAATAAAAAGGCATTTTGTGATCACAGACTTGAACCATCACTAGAATAGAGATTTTTGCACTATTCTTACTGCTGAGTAATTGCCCTTCAAAGGCAACTGTGATGTTCCAGGTGCATACGCCACTAATGTGTGAGGGAGAATCACACATAACCAAGTGGTTCACAGTCAATTGCCAAATAGAAAAAAGAAAAAAAAAAAAAAGAGAGAGAAAAAGGGAAGTTTTGCTGAATCCTGCCCACTGCCTTACTTTTTTCCTTTTCCCAGGTTTTACTCCTACTTTCTACCCCTCCATCCTTATCAACAACTCCATCTCAAGTTTCTGCTTCATCCTCCCTTCAACATTTATCCCTGTCATTCAGAGAATGACAATTCAGGAGAAAGGCAAGAAGGCCGTTCTGGGCCATGGCGCCTGGTGCCAAGTGCTTGGCCTGGTTTGTAATTTTCAAAGGCTGGATAAAGACACAGATTACTCAAGTGCCAAATATCAAATTTCCATTCTAAGCCCTATAGCAATTAGACCGTGTCAGCAAATTAATACAAAAATATTTTAAAGATGGGCAAAACTGCAGTTTTCTTCTGTATCTGCCTGAGGAACTGCTGAATTGTTTTAACTGAGACTTCTGAAATAGCTTTTTACTTAGGCATGCACTTGTCGTGTTTTCATTTTTAAGTCCCCAAAAGCTGGAGGCTGTAACTACAGACAATATTTTCTGTCCTATCTAGAATAAACAGACCTTTCTATATTCACATTATCTGCTAACAGTGTAGTCCCTCTTCAACATGACATGTACTGGCCTCACTGCCAAAAGAAGTGATCCTGCCTCCTCTATATGCCCAGACACTCATTTCTGTCCCCTGCATGAGGCTGGCACAAGAACGTTTGTGTCTATAAAATTAACCAGATTAGGGCACGATCTTGGCTAAGACTAATTTTTAGCTATGCCAGTTCCCTTATGCAGATCACAATGTGGCCTCAGATATATCTGTGCTGGAACAACATAGGAGGCATTTAAGGGATGAGAAGAGACTGCTGGTGACAGTTCTTCTCAGTGGTAGCACTGGTGATGAACTGTGGCATGAGCATTTCAGTGCATACTGTATTTTACATCTAATTAAGCTGCAAGCTCCTTAAATGCCAAAGACCTAATTTTCCTCTTTGTCTTCACCTCCAGCACAACTCCTACTGTTGGTGTTTAAATATATAGTACTTTTCCAGCATTATATAGCACTTTTCCAGCAAAGGACGCTAAAGGTTTTTACAAGTATTGCTAAGTTCTCAAAACTCAGATGGGAAAAGGAAGCACCATGTCAAATGGATAAATGGGGGGAACCGAATCACAAAAAGGGGATGTGACTGGCACAAGCTTATACAGCAATTTTATGAGAACATATTAACAGAATACTACCTTCCAGCTCATGATAGCAATGGGAAACCACTCCTCCCTTTATGCTTAGCAAGATTTATAACATGTAATGACAGAAGAACAGATTTCATATTTACTTCCTTTCCAATATTTTGCTGTCTCTGAAGGCTCACATTTTTTTAGTCTATTTTTAATTAAAAATATTTTATGAGCACTTCGAAATACATTTTCTACTTGTACATTTTCTACTTTGACATTTTATTTTATATGGAATTCAATACTAAATATTTCTGAAAAGTCTACCAGATTATCTCCATTGATAGTGAATATGCACTGAACGGGACTTTGGGATAAAATTCTTTCAAAAAATTAAACCCACAAAAATATTAGTGCTGTTGCATACGTAGAAATTAAATGACTTGTCTGGAAACATGTTAAAGGAGATTTATATATGATTCTAAAAGGGAAACAGTGCTGCTGTGCTATATTATCATATGCTCAGGTAAGAGGGAGTGTTAATTACCTGCTGTGTAATCTTCCACTGTTTCCTTTAAAATACTTCTATTTTCATTAATTAAGGAATATTAAAGCAATCCAGAACCTAGGCCTAAACACTATCCAAATTCAGAAAATTGAGGGCATTCAGAACTAGATTTGAACGCTACAGAAATTCTGTATACACACAGAAGTCAGAGATGGAAAAGACCCCCACCACATTATCCAGCCCTTCTCTTGGGGCCAATGTAAAAAATGCGCTCTCTAGCACGTTTGCTAGTTGTTTGTACTGCTTACTTTCCACCCAGAGGTGGAACTGCCCCACCTTCTCCCTAAGAGGCTGTTCCACAGTCCCGCTCATTTGACTGTCAGGAAAGGGTTTTTACAGCCAAATGCGATTCTGCTCTCAAAAATGACTATATAAAGGAGAACCTTTTAATTTCATATACATATTCCCTGGGTATCAGAATTGCATCTATTTACTTCAGTGACTCACACACACTTGTACTATTTCTATTCCTGTTACCTCTGCGAACAAATACAGTTCAGAGGCAAGAAGCTGGCTTCTGTTCCCTATGGCCAGCAGAACTGGTCTCTCAGTCTATGTACTTTCAGTGGTGGGACTGCGTAGATGAAAATAAAGTGTCCCAACTCTTCCTTAAAGCCCATTTCAAATGGTTGGGCCTCAACTGTATGGGATAATACGTTTTTTTAAAGAAGTGGGGGTGGGGGGAGGAGGGGGAAGAGACCACTCTGACTCAGATTGCAGAAGGAGTTTGCAGCACTGGTATGAAGAAATAAGCAAGCGCCTTTTTATTTTTAAACTGTGCCCAGTAAGTACTAGTCATTAAAACACAAGCACTTTACTGGAAGCACACTACAACTCCTGAGAATTCTTGTGCAATTAATTGTTTCACCCATACTGAACAGTCACAGTACACTTTCAGAAAAACCATAGTGTATAGTCCCTTCCTTAGTCATTTTGGACCTACACAACGACTCAGTCAGATTCTTTCCACACTATTTACCTTCTAAAGTTTATGCATGACTTTTAATTTTTTTCATCATGTTTTTGCAAGAAATAGAAACAATGAAAGAACGGGATAGTTATCAGCAACTTAAAAAAGGTTGTGCTTTGAGTAGCAAATCTTATCTTTGGATTAACTTAAAATAAAAACACTTGATTCTTTATAAATTGTAACAGCATGACCAGATTTCACTCAAGGCAGATTTTGTGCTCTGACCACAGAGGTGATGTATTTAGGTATGCCAGTACACCAGAACTGCCAAACCAGTGCTACAAACACTGCTCTTGTCTGTTCTGCATGACCCAAGCAGTTTCCCTCCTTCTCTCATTACAGAAACACCACAACTTTTTGTTATTATGGTCTGTATGTAATACTTTCATTCTCCCCTTCCCCCTTTTTCATGGTTGACAGATTCAATTCAGTCAGACAAGATCTCAGACACTGCACAAAGGAAATGAGCTCATCTAGCATGCCTGGTGCCTCCCAATGTTTCAATGCACTGAAGGAGCTGTTATAAATAAAATCTCTACAGGACAAGAACATAGGTGCAGGAGGAAAAAGGGTGGGTGTTAAAAGAATGCCGAACTGTTTCACTGCACTGATTCAGGGCAAATGATGAGTGAGACTAAAGAAACAAAACCTGCAACGATTTTCCTTGTGGCTCTTTCTGCATGTCTTTCTAAAAGTAGATTTCTAACCCTCCCCAAGAGTTACTTACGTCTGTGGAGCTGGGGCTAGGCAGGGACACAGGCTGAACAGCTGCGGGAAAAGTAAATGTGGTCTCTGTCTTTTCATTTTCAGGGGAGTCAGGATAACTGGACAGAGGGGACGTGGGGGTCAAAGCCCCGAACCCCAGCACCGTGTTGTATTTAGGTGGACGACCTACATATTAACAACAGGGAACACAAAAAAAAAAAAAAAAAAAAAAAAGAGAGAAAGAAAGGAAAAATGATCTTACATACCTTTGGCCAGTGGTCCTCATTGGCTAGCGTGAAAAAGGAAATGATGTAGCACAGAGAGGAAGTTAATATAAAAGTTACAAGTGGAAGGACAGAAGCAAAGATTTAAACATTTTTTAGAAATCTTTAAGTAGAATTTTGCAAGGAAAGAACATTTAAAAGATGTATTTCAGAAGGAAATAGAAATAAGCTCTGTAGAGGGTCAAAGAATCACTCCCACAAAAGCAGCGTGGGGACACTTGCCACTCCTAGAAATGAGGCTATTCAGTTTTTAGGGAAAACATGTTGGCATCAAAGCTAGATTGAAGCTACAATAACTACTGTTAAATCCTTTCTACTGTTATCCCACACCTCCCTATTTTTCTAGTGCCAGCATAAATCTACACAAAGGTGAAGCCCTTTATCAGAGGCCAACACTCACCAACCCCCTCCTTTTCTTGCCCTTTTCTTAAACCCATTCACCCACAGATCAGCACTTTCTACTCTACTGGTACATTTTTTAAATTAGGCTACCTCAGGAACAGGTCCTGTTGTCTGACCCGTAACACCAGCACTATGGTTGTAACCTACCACCTTCCACTGTAACACCACCCCCCAATTCTGTATTTTTTCTTAGACTTTCTCAGTCAAGTGGGTTTCATTATTCACAACTCCTATACGCTCCTTTAGACTAGCAGAAGTGCAAAATGTGTTCGTAACAATTTTGCTAAAATTACGTATGCAAAGCAAGACAGCAAAAAAAACAGTATGTAACCATCATTTCTGCCTCCCTTCTCCAGGGTAATTTATGGATATGTAAACATAAAGGAGTTAGGATCTAGGAATAATTCCCCAGATCTTATGTTTACAGATTGTCAGTCTATACCTATTAACATGCTAAACCTTGCATTTAAGGTCTGGATATGTTCCAGAACTAAGTATGTCCTTGGAAACGGATTTCTGATAGTGATGTCCATGGCTGAAATTTCTGACATGCTCAGCACCATCTAGAATTAAACTAAAGCTCTCAAGGGCACATGCTTGCATAAGCTTTTCACCTAATATATTGCATACTAAATCACAAAACAAATGTATACAACCCCATCTTTTGTCAATTGAAAATGTGTGCTACTAATTTGGTGCTGATGCAAGCTTGGTACAGGCTCACAACAGGGTGTGAGAAAAAAAAGAGTATAATAGCAGTCAGTGCAAAAACAGGCTAAAGAGAATATCAAGTACAAGAGCATGCAATCATTTTCATTGATACAGTAATAGTTCACAATGAGTTATAAAATAGAATTAAGAAATCATTACTAGAAGAAGGAACATTTACTTATCCATAGACTAAATGCTCTCTCTCTATAAAATCTACATCATATCATCTTAAAAAATACATTTAATGTTATTAGAAGATGGCAGTAGAGACTGGTGTCTTTTATTTAGAAAAAGCATAGCTGCATAAGTGTCAGCTTTGCCACACTGCCTGCTGGACTGAAGAGTTTTATCAAGGAGAGCACATGTCAAATGAATATTTGACCTTGCAGCCATAAAACAAAGATAATGGAACTGGTTGGTGCTAGGCAGGGCTGTGTTTTTTTTTAATCTGATTGAATTACCTTTTTTTAGACAGCAAACTCAGGAGTAGAGAAGGTATTATGAGTCTTTAAGGACTGCAGAAAATCATCAAAAACCAGGGAAAGATTGTCATATGTGTGTGGTTGATGCCATGCACAAAAAATGTTAGGGTGTTCTCTCCTATGCTGTTCTGACTCATCTGTTTCACCATAATCGAAGTCTTAAAATTTCACCTGTTCTACGGAAGGATTTCTACTGAATAATACCACATACTTGTATGACAGATCATCTCTCATTTCAGGACAAGGGGCATTCTGGTTGCAGAAAATGCTTAGTATGAGCATGATAGCCTTTCTTGCTCAAGGTAAATCCTTTTGAAGGACCCATCTCTACTCCCAGTGGGGAACAAGGCTTTTGTCACACTAAGTTTCCTCTCCTATTCAGGGCACAGACACTTTTTCCACAACCACCTTCTTCTTGACAGTAGCAATACAATTTAGTTATTAACAAGAGGATCTTGACAGCAGTTTGATACCAGTAAATTATGTTCAAATATCTCACCTTTCACTTTGCTCTGTCTATGGTATTTTAATATTTTTTGGGGAGAGTGAAACTGAAATGAAACATTAAACTGCCTAATAAAACCTGCTATGCTCATCCCTAGAAGTCATGATCTTTATCTACCATGGAAATTTACTGGACAAATGAAGGAGAGTCATTCTTTGTTTTGCTCTTCAAATCAACAAGGGGACTGCCAATGGAAGATGGAGCAAGAGGCATACAGCAGGGAGACAGGTCTAAGTATAACTCACCTCTTTTACGTGTCCCGGGATGCATTGTGCTGTTCAGGTATGTGACTGCACTCTTCTTGCGCTGCAGGAAAGAATATAACAATTTTTGTTGGATAACATTTTTGGTAATAACTGTATGCAATAGCAACATCACAGTAGTACGAAGTGAGTCTGCTCTCAGAAGCACAGCTTCAGAAAGGTTAGCTTTTTACGCTCCTTCTGACACCCTGACTGCTTCAGGCTGATACGCAAGTTGACCTAATGGTAAGACTAACACACACTGACTGCCATTTAATGTCAGCTTTACATAGGAGAAGGCAGAAAAAGACATAAGTATTAGAAGAACGTCCCAATGTGTTTAATACTTAAAAATCTGAGGGTCATATCATTGCAATGGCCTTCTGAATTATAGATGATAGCTTGCCTGTCTAGTTAGGACTGAGATAGCTTAGGAGGTAGAAACATGGCAGAAAGACACACAAGCTCAGAATGAAAATACTAGCTTCCCCCAGCAAAAAATTAATACCTCAGGCTCAAAAACGGCTCCACTGTACACTGGATTTGCTGTTGTTCTTCTTTTCCTCTCTTGTCGCTTACTTTGGATTTCTTGTAAAACAAAGCATTCAGGTCAGAAAACAATGGCTCTCAGAAATTATACAAAGTCCTCAGAATTTAGTTTGCGTGTGAGGAGAGCTGTGAAGATTTCTACAGAACACCAATCATGCTGAATATAGGCAACTTTGTTATATTTCTAATTTCTGAAGGTTTGAAAACTAAGAGCTGACAAGGAATACAAATACAGTGCTCAACTAACTAATGAAATGATGCCGTCTTCTCACCAAGTACTCCACAACTAAGACATTTTAAATTCATGGTCAGTGTAATTGAGATTTAAAACAAAAAGCCTCTGGTAACCTTGTTGATACTTAAAAATACAGTACAGAAATATGCAAGCCATTGAAATATTAGGTTGTATTTCACTGTATAGGATTAAGGACTTTAAATTATAAAACCAATTATAATCTATTAACTCATTCGCTACAGATTACAGTCCCATGAAATCATGAAATAAATGAAAAATCCAGATGTGCATTAGAGTAAAATTATCCATGGTATAACTTTGTAGATATGGGGGTTGTCCAGAAAGCAATGGGATTGTCACAAATTTCTTCCCTACCATCGGAGCATACACCTTCTTCCCAACCACTGATCTCCACTGCATAAACAACTGCTTTGTTTCAATGTAATAAGAGGAATAAAAAATTATGCACAAGAAACCAAGTTAGATCAAGAGTACAGACATCCCAAATGTACTTTTGTGCAAGAAAATACTGCACTTAATACAGAAGAATTTTGAACCCGTACTTCCAATTCAGAATGGCCAGAAACAGGGAGCTCAAGAACCAACGTAGACATTTTTCCTACCTTCCAGATGGTCATGAGTAACTAGTCCCAGAGACACCATGAAGGCAAGTTTCTGTGAGGGAGGAGAAAAAAAAAAAATCATGACTTAGTCTAACCGTTAGGATGAGTTATGTCACTTAGGCTCTTTGAAGTCACTTGACAGGTAACTAAGCAACAAAAATGTAATTAGTAATACTTTGCTTCTATAAATCACTTTTCATTCATGCATGTCAAACTGCTTTACAGGTAGACAATAGTTCCATTTTCTAGATGAGAACCTAGGCTGAGATACAGGACATGCCAATCGTTCATGATCACAGAGTTGGTAGAGACAGGAACAAGAAAGCAGTTTGTTTGCTTCCAATGAAGCATTGAACCAACTATGTGACTGGCTCTTAGTAAATACCAACACAGTTCAATTGCCAGCAAAATACTGCTAGTTGAAGATCATTCTCCATATATTGCAAACTACAAGAACCAACTCTGGTTTACATGTGACATTTGCTAAGGGCTATGGCTTTCTTAAAGGATTCTAATTTTAATGCAGGAAGTGCACAGACATGTAAAAATCAGAATTTCTACTGACAACAGTTAACGCTCACACAGCAGTCAGTTTGAACCCATCTACAAAAACAAATGTAAGCATTTAGCTGTAATCAGTTCCAAAGCTCTGCATGGCAGAAAGGCTTTAAGAAATAAGCCATTTTGGCCACTCTTTTCCCCCCAAACCAACTAGACCTAAACTGGAATAAAACCCCGGCAGAATAGAAAATAAATGATTCTTTCCATCCTGCTCACCAAAGCAGAAATATTTTATAAAGCAAAATAAAGACATTTCTCCAGCATTAAAAATAACTCCAGAAGTCTAAAATCTCAAAGTAATGGAAATCAACACTGTAATCTAAGCCGCCTGGTTGAAGGAAGTATCAGAGGGAAGTTATGATCTAACTTACAAAAGACTTAGAGGTCAAATGCATTCCAGGACTGTAAAATGCAATGCATTATATATATTTAGATTTCTTATTCTGTAGCCTTATCAACTACTGCTGTCCAACAGGAATGCGTGGAATGTTAAAGTTAAGGAGTCTTGAGGGAACAGAGGGGGAAAAATCTTTTCTGAAGGACAGTGTTTCCTTTTTTCCTTAAAAGAAAGCTCTGGGTGTGTTCTGATACCTGTGGATTTTCTTCTCGTTTTGGCTTCGGTGCAGCAGGTGGAGTAACTGTACGACTTTCTGTTTGCTTCTCTTCTGCTTCCACATGTGGTTTAATAGTCTGAAAAGAAACAGTGTTTCTCTCGTTCAGTGGTAAGAATGACTTTTCTTACTTTGACTAATAAAGCAGAACAAATACTTTTGCAGATAGAGGAGAAAAACAGTTTAAAGCTGGCAGTGTACTAACAAAGACTTAATTGAGTAATCTGACGTGCAAGGAATATTAAATAAAGTGTTTTCCTTTAACAAAGGATGAAACAGCCTTACCACCATTCCATTAAACCATGCAGCCACGCAAGCAATGAAAGTCATCCTTAAAAATTGACTCCATTACAGAAATGGAGTCAATCACTATACGGTATGGGAAAACTAATAGACACTTTAAGAAAAAACATCGCATTGAAGACTTCCAGGTAGAAACCATTCTGCATGGCACATGCATTTTGTACTTCTCACTCCTCAGTCTTCATATTTCATAGCATTATGAATGGTTCCAAAACTGTCTCTCTGACTCCTACGATCTCAGATGTTTCTGAAGCTTTTCTTTTCTGAAGTCATAATCTTCTGCAATGGTATCACAAACCCTGCATGACAATCCTCAGCCCATGGCATAGCTGTTGAGGCTACAAACTGAGTGAGATACGCTACAAGAGACAAACTTTTCCCCTTTATGATGCAGAGAAAATATACCGAAAAACTCATGTATCATTAAACCACCACCTTTCTTCTGTATGTTTTTCAATTGTTGAATTGCCAGTAATTATTCGAGGAGCAAACAAATATTGCTGACATCAAAAGGAAAAGGCATCAAAAGTATAGTATTGTAGCAGTACAACTTCAAAACATAAGGAAAAGGCACACATTGCTGAGTAACTTGAGGTATACAAGAACCTACTCATGAGAATTCATAAAGAGAACTGAGCATGAGAGTATTTTTCATGCACATAATTTTCACAGTCTCCACAGGTGACTTCAAAAGGAGAATGTAACTTCAAGGCATATTAGTCTATGAAAGTTATAAGTGAAATTTATACTACTGTTATTTATATAAATTACATAAATATTGTATGTTTTAGATAATGTATTATATAATATACTATATTACACTGTTACTAACATATAATATACAAAAGAGTTAAGTGAAACAGAAGATTGCTTTACTTGGACTGAATGGCAAGGACTCTCAGTTGCAATCACACTGACTAGTCATGTTTTATTTTACAAAAGTCTTTTCTGGGGAGAGACTTTAAAACTAAACACCTAGAATTCTCTGTTTCTAAGGGTCTCCCTTCCACTGAATCAATCCAATTTAGTCACGGGGAACTATCAGTCTCCAGAAGCTGAGTGAGGCTATTTTGCCTCCAACCACAGGACTAGTAGAGCCCTGCAATCTAACTTGCTTATGAACTACTGAAGTTAAGACAGTAGGGGAATCATAAAAACACTGAACCACGAGAGAAAGATTCCATTGGCCCATATTGAAGGAAATGGTATCTTCTACCCCAAGAGTTGCAAGTTATTCCATAATTTGTACTGTTGTTGGAACATGAATATCTCCAGTACCCACTGAAAATTTCTGCATGGTTGTCATCCTTTCCAAACCAGCACAGTAAAACAATAAACCCAGTACATTGCATTAGTAGACACTTTCTTATCTGTACCTGTTTTTCAATGTTTGGTTTGCTGATCTGTACAGTCTGAGGTCCAGCGAGCCTGGTACCTGGTGCTGCTATCACGATGCTGGTGAGCTGTGCCATAGGGAAGGTTTTGGCTATGGTTGCTGTCTGCCCGTTAACTACACGAACTGGATGTATGGAGTTCTGAGAGTTGGGTAAAGAGGTGGGTGTGAACTTTGTTGTCAACATCACAGGCCTCTGAATAAGCTGAGGAGCTGCAAGCATTGGAGGAGGTGCTGGGGCAATAGGAATGTTATTTTGGGCAACTGGTTTAGGTCGAACCTACCAAAAAAAAAAAGAAGAAGAAAAACAAGAGACGGATTTGTTCGTGTATCAGTATTTCAGATGAACTTTTTTACTAAGTCTTTCAATTCACCCTGTATAATCTGCAGCAGGTTGCTTGATTTTTTATAGAAAGTAATTTTTAGCATAGTGTCCTAAGTATGCTAAGAGAAGGAAAAGCCACATTTTCAAACCTACTTGCATAAAACCCATACATAACATTTGCATATGCAGTCACTGTCCCTGAAATGGTATTTGCATGCACAGACACTTATATTCCATGTTTATTGCCAAGTGCCGTATCTGTATCAAAATCAACATATTGGTTTTGCAAGCCAAAAAAAATCATGTAGTATTTACAGGCACAGCTGAGGCTCTCATGTTAGAAGTGTGTCTCAGGGCTTTATACTGAGCCTCCAAGAAATCATGAACAGTTGACTGTGCCCTGAAAAAAATAATTAAATTTTTCAGCAAATCCCTGTTACCTCTGTCAATTCTATATATAATTTAAACACCTGCACAATCAATCTTGCTAAGCAAAAAAATTTTCAAGATTATACATTAATCCCTCATTAGAAGTGCTAAAGGCTACAGGTAAATGCAGTCATTACTCCTTTCTTCTTTCACAAGAAAGAAAAGAGCCACAAGAATCTTCCAATACTCCACCATCAATATTTGCGTATTTCTTGCCCATTGTTAAGTTTGCACTTATCTACAGCAGTAGAATACATTACTCTGAAAATAAAGTCTTTTTCCTTATTTGATTCCTATTGTCCTATCTACCTTTAATACTCCATAATGCATTTTATCATGAAAACTAGGTCACATTCCAACAGATCTCACCATCCCCAAATCTTAATCAGATACCAGCCTATGCTTTCCTTTTTCCTTTTGTAAAAGATTTAGACTTTTATTCACAGCACCACACATTTCTTACAAATGAAATAGTTCCTGCAGTATGTTTTTTTTAGATGGAGAAGCAATCTGTGTCTTTCCTAAACCATGGAAAAAAAGTAAAACACAAGTTTTACTGCTCAGCTGCAAACAGAGTTCACACTGTTGCAATACGGAAATACTTGGGAACAATCTAGAGACAAGTTGTTTTTCCTTTTTTGCTCCTGAACAGCAAACCACAATTAAAGCAATTTAAGGCTTTGGGTGAGGCTTTGATTTTGCTGACATCCTGCAAATAGGATAAAATACGATTATCGCATGCAAATTTCATAATCCCAGACTCATGCAGGTTGGGAGGCAGCTCAGAAGGTCTCTAATTTGACTTGCTGCTCAGAGCAGGGCCAACACTAAATGCAGACCAGGTTGCTCAGGGCTTTGATGAGATAGGTCTTGTAAAACTCCAAGGACAGAACTTCCATAGTGTCTCTGGGAAGCCTCTTCCACTCTTAATTGTCCTCAATGAGAGAATTATTTTCTTATATGCAGCCTAAGCCTGTTCCAATTTATGATCATTGTCTATAATTCTCCTGCCAAGCACCTATGTCTCCATCTTCTTGTTAATTTCCTTGTTGATATCAGAAATAAGGCTGCTGTTAGGTTGCCCCCAAGACCTCTTCTCCAAACCAAACAAGCCCAGATCCCTCAGCCTCCCCTTGCAGGCTGTGCAGCCTGGAGAAGAGAAGGCTCCAGGAAGACCTTATTGCAGCCTTTCAGTACTTAAAGGGGGCCTATAGGAAAGATGAGGACAGACTTTTTAGCTGGGCCTGTAGCAATATGACATGGGGAAATGGTTTTAAACTAAAAAAGGGTAGATTTAGACTAGATATCAGGAAGACATTTTTCCCAGTGAGAGTGGTGAAACACTGGCACAGGCTGCCCAGAGAGGTGGTAGATGCCCCATCCCTGGAAACATTCCAGGGCAGGCTGGACGGGGCTCTGAGCAACTCAATATAGTTGAAGGTGACCCTGCTCATTGCAGGGGAGTTGGACTAGATGACCTTTAAAGGTCCCTTCCAACCTGAACTATTCTATGATTCTATATATTCCTGCCCCCCAGATATCTTAATGGCCTTCCCCCCTGGATTCATTCAAATTTATCAACTTCTTTCTGGTACCAGGGGGTCCAAAACTGCATGCTGTATATCAGATCCAGTTTTATGATTGCTGAGGAAAGCTGCATCATCTCTTCCTTTAATCTACTGGCTGCGGTCCTGTTGGTACAGCCCAATATGCTACCTTTGCAGCCAGGGTACACTGCTAGTTTAGCTACTGTCAATCAAGACCTTTTAAGCAGTGCTGCTCCCCAGCCAGCAGTCCCCAGCCTGTACAGGGGGTTAGTCCATCTCAGGTGCAAGACTGCCTTTTTCCATGCTGAAGCTCAAGAGATTTCTGCTGGCCCATTCCTCTATCCTGTCAAGGGCCCTCTGAATGTCAGCACTGCCCTCAAGAGTACTGACTGCACCCTCCAATTTGGCATCATCCGCAAACCTGTTGAGGATGAATTGTCCCCCCCACCAGATCACCAAGAAAGACTGACAAAAATGATGTTCACAGAAAGTATCTCCTATCTATGCTATAATTAAGTTCCTTCTTTTATTGTGCTTCTTTGTACACTCACCTGTGGAAGAAAATTTGGACGAGGAGTAAGTCTGGGAGGAGGGATGAACTGCGGCACTTTTATGGGCTGAGGTGTAGCCTGAACCTGCTATGAGAACATAAGAGAGTTCAGTAAGAGGAAAACAGCTTTGAAGTCGTTCACCAAAATCAACATCCTGAATGTATTTTCAGACCTGATGTCCCCAGTTTTCTACTCTGTAAATAATTTTTCACGGTAACAGGTTCCTCATTAGAAATGTATTAACGACAGAGCTTATCTTACTTTCCAGTTCCTACACCCCTTGCTTCATAAATTTAGAGTATCCTTCCTTCTAGTTCAACTGTACTAACTACTGTGCTCTGCAATCTAAAACCATTTCATCTCAAGATAATGAAACTCCTATTTGTTTTAATAGTTAAAAATTGGCTTTACCACAGACAGAAAATAATAACAGACTTTTGCGTCCAGCTATATGAACCCCTGGCCTTTCATACTGAATGGCATACAGAAGAATGAAAGACTATCTCACGCAAATAGAAAAGATCTAAAAGTTTCAACTCTTCTAGCAATATTAATGACGCTGTGAGGGGCTCTAAATACACAACTGCAAGTTTTCAAAAGCAGGCCATTCATTTGAAACAATTAAGATCTGATTTCAAGGCATCCTAAGTACTTCCCTGTCTAACTGAAATCAGTTTGATGGAGCTGCCACACGATAACCTCTGAATAGCACTACCAGCCACCCTAAGTTGAGTACTTGGTGAGATTCTCTAAAATTAATGTCCATGTTCCACCCTTCTGTACTTCTGTCTACCCACATAAGATTGCAATTTACTTCAAAAAGGTCTTGTACTGATTAATTAATGCTTGGAAAATATTCTGAGATTTTAACATTAAATTTGCTATAGAAACATAGATCATGGACTATTATTAAAACAGAATCACCTTCCCAAACCTCAGTAAGTTATTCAGCAAAGAAATGAAGCACAGACACAAAGGACAGATGAGAGTGGTAGAAAGGAAGATATGGGAAAAGAAAACAGTAGAAAAAACTCCACTCAAATAGTCTTCTCTATTCTGATTGCAAACATATGCCTCATTAGGAAGAAAAATTACTTCCATTTGCATTATTAAACTGCATTTTTCAGTAAAGATAAATTGGATTCATGTTTAGTGAAGCCTTTAACCTTTACTCCGGAAGTAAAATGTCCCGGTCATGATGCTATACAATGCCTGGTTTCCAGACAAAGAAGCCTATATAACCCAATTCTAAAACTTTATTTCTTTCATTTCTAGGTGGCTAACTATTCTGGAAAAGACTGCATGATGTAATCAAAGCACTTTCCAAAATATATGCTTAAAGAAATAGGTTCTGTATATGTGTATGAAAAAGTGGTAAGTGAGGACACAGTAGTGGGCAGCGTTAAGTGATGCGTCTAACACCAGAGACTTTATCACGAACGGGAATAAGAGTGATTGACTCAAAAAAATCTAAGATGAAAACACAAACTGATCCAATGAAGAAAGTCTGACATCTCCTTTACCAAAAAGAAGAGTAGGAATTCTGCAGAACACAGCCACATAAATTAGGTAGGGGTGAAACAATTGCTACTACCCCACGACTACCAATTACTAACAGGGGAAACTTGACACAGAGGTGATAATAGGACTAATTTAATTCTATAACGTAAAAGAGTAATAACAACCCATGTAGACAGCAAAAGCTTTTCTCTTAGACTATCATTTTAACAATGTCAACTAGTGAAGACTCACGACATGTCCCTACTATTCTTTCTGTGCAAAAACCTGTTCATTTATGTTTTTTCAATAACCTTCTCGTAAACTAAACCCACACACATTTGCAGGGCAAACACATGAAACGCTTACCAAAGTGACTGTGTTTTTTGCCACTATCTGGACTGCCTCAGCTCCTGGCCCAGTGACCTTATTTGTTGTCTGGAGGTTGACTGGTGCATTCTGCGCATCAGTGCCGAGGACTGCTTTCTGATTGTTGTTGATAGCAGTAACCATGGCAATGGTAGGTCTCTGACCCACAACAGAGGCAGGCATGGTCGCAGTTGCTGCTTTCAAGACGAGAGGTAGTGTCTTAGTGGTGATCATAG